GCTTTTATATAACTTAAAAATGCAGATTGAGAATCCATCCGAAGCGGTAAAACATCCGTTCATACAATGGCTTGTATTAGCTTTGAAGTTTTCCGAAAAACATTTGAATGAATTTTATGAACTAAATAAATCAATGCTGAATTTCACAAATGTTCAGTTACCAATAACAATTATTCATACAATCAAGGAATATTTGAATTTTGGAAAGCTACTTAGAACTAAAATTAGTTCAATACGAACATATCTCGTTTCAAATGAAAACTTTCCTATGCATCATCATCTATTACATGCCTGTGAAAATGGTGAAGAAATAATATTTACATGTGATCTGATTTTAGAAAAATTAGAATTATTAAATAAAAATACATATGAAGTTCATAATTTTCGAAAAATTTTTCCTATCGTACATTCCGAAATGAGTGAACTATTCGATTCTTTAATGTACGTTATAGAGAAGTTTAACCGGTTTTATTTAGCAAATTCTGAAGCAATACATTATGATATATGGAGAGAACATGTTCCTGTTGACCATGAACCATCAGTCAAGGCTCAACTACTTAAATATTTAATTGTAGTAGATATTCGTAATGATGTTTGCAATATTAGCAATCGCTTTTACCAAATAGAATTATTTACAGAAATTTTTAACGATAAATCTGTAAGAAAACAAGGAAGCGATTGGGATATATTCTTTATACTAAGTTCACACCTAAGTTCACAGTTAAGCTCGAGTTCAAATTCCAGTGAATTTAGTAGTGCAGAACGGATACATAAACAACAAAAATATTCTAATTATTGGTTAGAAGAAAAATTGAATAGTGAAAACCATAATGATTTGTTGATGTTGTCGACAAAACATAAACATAAAAGTAAACAATTGAACGATCAGGACATGAAAATTATTTGTGAAAAATTAAAAATAAACCAACATTGGAAATCATTACATATCTGTAATACTCAAATAACGACAAAAGGTGTTTCTTATTTATGTCAAGCTTTGAAAGTTAACTCAGCAATAGTTACAAGTCTTACGCTTACTAATAATCAAATATCGGACAAAGGCATAACATTGATATCAAAATTAATGATCAAAAATAAAACAATTGATTCGTTAAATTTAGGAGGAAATCTTATAACTGATAAAGGTGTAAAACAAATAGCTATTATGTTAAAAAAGAATAAAACCTTGTTTGAACTTCGTCTTCAAGAAAATCTTATAACAGATATTGGTATGGAATTATTAATACAAGCATTGTATATAAATAAGGGTCTTGATTCATTAGATGTTAGTAGTAACGATTTAACTGATGATATTGTAACGTCAATATTAAATATGTTGAATGCAGATGACCATCGCCAAAACTTTAGATTATATATTTATCAAAATCAAATATCTGAACTAAATCAAAAAATAATTCAAGATAAACTTAAGCAATATACTTTAGAACGGTACAGTAATATATGTAAAAAACGTTGGCATACTTCGCGCTGATTTTTCGAAGGGGTCTCGCTTTCGCCCCCTTATTTTACAACATAGGTTCATAGATATGTGAGTCGCTACCATTGTGATTGTCAGTAAAAACCCTAAGGTTTCTTTTCCAGGAATACAAATGTCTGGAAGATTTCAAATAAAATCAGATACTTAAATCTAAACGCTGCTCAAAACAATTATTTGATTTTCGCTTCCTTGATTTCGCTTCAACCATAGATGTCAAGTGAAGGTTTGGGGTCGAAAAGTGTGAAAAACTTAGGAAGTTACAGTTGCATAAACCAAGAATAAAAATGATAGGAACATAAAGAACTATAGGAACTATTCGAACTACAAAAATATTAGTAAGTATAGAAACTATAGGAAGTATTCGAACTATATAAAAAATAGGTCTTACAGGAACTATAACTGAATTAGCAATTTCGAACATCTCCAGATTCCTCTAGGGGCAGGATGATCACAAATAAATCGAAAATTTTCAAATTTGATTCTCCAGATATTTTCTAACAGAATTCTCTATGGACGCACAATTCTGAGTCCATTCGAATCCATGGAGTCTAAAAAAGTAGTCCAATTCAGTTCACAATACAAAAACGACTTAGTTTTTACTGATTTTTCCTGGATTCAAATCAACAAAAACTTGCTTTTCGTATCCTGACCACTTCATTGTCCTAAGGTTGAGTTCAGTCGAGTCCGACCCCATGAACGGATGATGCTTTACCGCTTCGCATGGATTCTCAATCTGCATTTTTAAGTTATATAAAACT